GAATGATCATATGTTTCTTGAGTGTTCATCTTCTGGTGCCATCCATCATGTTCAGACAAGGGTCTCTCATTGGTCTGATACTCAACCAGAAGGCTAGGCTGGCTAGCCTGTGAACCCCAGGAATCTGCCTGTGTCTGCCTCCCCAGTGCTGAGATTATAAGCACATATGTGGTTGCACGGTAACTTTTTTTAAAAAATATGCATATATATATATATATATATATATGGGAGCCTTGGGTATAAAGAATAGCACAGACGCCTAGGCTGTTTCTTTCAACATATATATGTGCATATTATATATATATATATATATATATATATATATGCGTAGAGGGGTTGGCTGGAGTGGCAGCTCAGTGGCTTAGAGCACAGGACCCATGTTCCTGATTTCATGGCATGCCTTCTTCTGCTTTCTGTGGACACCAGGTGTACACTGCACACATATTTGTATGTAGGCAAAACACTCATAAAATAAATATTTTTTAAAAAATAAGAAAAAATACATATATGGGTTCTGGGTCCTTCATGCTTGCAAGGCGAGCACTTTATTGGTTGAGCCATCTCAGCACCCTGTTGGGGGATTGGGATTTTGTTAGGAACTTCGGCTGGCCTGGAACTAACTATGAAACCTGGGTGGTTTGGAACTCAACAGCGTCCTCCTGCTTCAGCCTCTGCAGTGGTAGGGTTACAGTTGTGGGACACCATATCTGGTTAGGTTCCCCTTTGAAATGGCGTGGGGACTGTCTTCAAAGCATTCGTAATACCTCGTATTTTCTAGGCCAGTCTGTGTCTCCCTTAGTGCCCCGTTAACAGGTCGCTGTTGCGTGTCTTTCTCATTTCAGCTATGTACTCTTTGTTGGGCTCCATGGTCAGAGTCATTTCTTCTGCAAAGAGGCAGCACATTTCTAGTGTGCCGATTCTGATATGTTTTTGCTTAGGAAGTGGGTGAGCAGGTTTGTGAAGAATTATATGCCTGATGAGTCTGTCTTTGTGAGGTGCCTTGGGTATAAAGAATAGCACAGAGGCCTAGGCTGTTTCTTTCAGTATGCAGTAGCCTTTCTTATTGGGTTCATTGATCAGAGCAGTATTTAATTGTTGAATAATCAAGGTGTTTAATAACTACATTTTAAGAATATCTGATATTTTTTCTTTCTTTTGCTATTGCTCTGATTTATTCAAATATTGAGTTAGATTTGAATGTTAGCCACGTAAGGAGAAACTTTGAAATAACCCAGTTGTTGTAGCAATTTAGCGCAATAACTTTAATGAATGTTTTTCTTACTTATCTTTTTCTTTTCTTTTCTCTCCCTGCCCACCAGGGAGTGACTATTCCCAGTCAGAGGCGCTATGTATATTATTATAGCTACCTGTTAAAGAACCACCTGGATTACAGACCAGTGGCACTGTTGTTTCACAAGATGATGTTTGAAACTATTCCAATGTTCAGTGGCGGAACTTGCAGTAAGTGCTCTACATTCCTATCCTTCTGTATGTTGGAAATTTTTCCTGTTACTGTATCTAAATGTGTATGTGAAAATTTAGAAATACTTTACCAGGTTACAACATAGGCAGGAGAGTAGATTTCTGAAGTATTGGGATTAATTAGTTCAGTTGCTGAGCTCATTGGGTTAAGAAACCTAAGAACAGTGAATGTTAGTGTTCTCGAAGTCAATTCTACTTACGGGAGAAACATTCTGTGTTACAACCACTGAACGCAGTCTTTATTCTGACAAAATAAGGGAAAGACACTTTCACAGGCCAGCGTGTGAGTGGCAGTGGGATCACCAGCTTATTGATCTCCGGCAGGGACCAAGTCCTTCATCTGAGGGAGACAGATGTTTATAGTCATAGTGACAGAAACAGAGGGGCCGTAGCAGCAGCCTCCAAATACAGAGTAAGAGGGTATGTGATGCCTGGATGCCTCTCTTGGCTCTAGCCCTTGGCCTGTGACTTGGCCATGTCATCTTGCTGAGCGTTTGCTTGTCAGTAAAATAAAGCTTGAAATCTGACCCTCCCTTGCTAAGTACAAGGTCTTGACACTGGGGTCTGCTTGTAATTTCTCTCTTGTATGGTAGCAGCTGATGGCCTACCTCACATGAGCCCACCTTGATCATTTTGATCTTTGTTTGTTTGTTTGTATGTTTGTTTGTTTTCCTGATATTCTTGGCAAGAGTTCTTAGCTACAGACCTCTAGGAATAGGAAGCCCAGTACTTGCACTGAAAGCAGTTACTTAATGAAGGGAGAATGTCTGGATGGAATGTATATAGAAAATATATGGAGGAGTTTTGTGTAGCCTAGGCTGCTGCACTGTCTTTTTTCTGTAACAGTTTTTTGACACTGAACATCTGTCTAAGTACCACCTGGGAGTTGTCAATCATGTTTTATACCTAAGAATGTATTTTATTTGTATTTTCAATATAATGTCCTAGTTGCAGATCAATGTCACTTATTAGAATCCCCTTGTTTTGCAGTCTGTCAGCTACTTGAGTTTTTTTGTCTCCATGAAATATTTAGCTAAATTAATTTGTTCGCTCTAAAATAATTTATATAGAGAAAATTAGTTTCTTAATGTCATCTATCTTTGTCAGATAGGTTTGATTTTTCACGAGTGTGACTTTATTAAATTCCCCTGGTTTATTAATATAGCTTATTAGAAAGTTCTAAGGAACTTTCATACTAATCATAACAGTATAATTTTTAAAACTTAAATTCAAGGCATAGACTATTGAAAGCATTTGGCCTAGGAACCTCAGCAGGTTCATAAAGAAAAAAAAAAAAAGACGAAAACTCATGTTCTTCCTAGTTTATGTATCAGTATAAAAGCTGAACAAAGGTGATATGGAGGTAATAAGGAAAAGCTCTGCTCAAGAGTCTTACTAGGTACTGACTTTTTGTCAGTTCTACTTTGCTTGTCTATGATTAAACTATTTTGTTTGGCTTTTGGTCTCACAACATTATGCTTTTATCCTTAGACTTAAAATTATTGACTACTGTCTTTCCACTCTTGCTCTCCATCTCCCCGACCCTCTTCCTTGCTGCTCCCAATAAGCCTGCATTTATATATTAAAAAAAAAAAAAGTATTGACTACTAAGTTCTTTCTAATCATTTAAATTTTCTAGTTATCTACTTATGTGCTGGGATTTAATACTGTATATAGTGAAGTTATATTAAAATACAGCTCAGGGTTTGTATGCATAAATTACAAATTCTGTGTTTACCAAAAGGTTTGGAAACTTAATTTTGTGGAGTAAGTCTGCCATGGAGAACACTTGCAGTTTAGATTGGCATTAAGTCTGAAGGAAGTATTTCAGGCATTAGGAGTAAGGAGAACTGAAGCACAGCAGAAGAAAAGAAGTAGGCAGGAATAGAAGAGGTATTTGGCTGTTACAGAATCTCAAATGGGAGATAATAGACTTGGAATATTGGTGTCTTGACAGTTCTAGTGACTTGAGTCATGTCTTACAGACTCTTCTGTATTCTATAGGAAGTTGTGATGGAGGAAGGACGTAAAATCAGCTAGGTGACTTGGCAGGTGGTGTTAGGACAATGAAATGAGCTTTGTTTGGCTGTCTTTTAGCTGTTTATATCCAAAGATTTTGTTCAAGTTTTGATCTTACCAAGGTACATGACTCACAGAAAGGAGATGAAAAGTGCACTTGAGATTTGGAGACATAAATTTGGCTTTAAAGTTGTTTTAAAGTCTAATGAAAACAGTGTTTGTATGAAGAACTGCAGTGGAGCTGGAGGTCTGTCTCAGTGGCATAGAACTAAAGCGAAAAAGGCTTTGCCTTGAGTCTCCAGCTTTTTAAGATATTTGGTAGTTAAGGATCTTGGGGGATGGGACTATAGGTTCAAGTGTGGGTGAGAGATCCTATCTTTTCGGGGGAAGCATCAGGAATAAGATAGTAATTTAGCCTTGAGATGTTGTTGATGTAGGAAAGGGTGAAGGCTAAGGAAGAGGGAAGGGCAAGTTGGGTTCAGGAATAAAGAGGAGGTATCAGAGAAACAGAAAACCAGTGAGGAAAACTAAAGTATCTTCTGCAAAGGTACCAGGAGCTGGCAGCATTTTTCTTACCTGATTATTGTCTTTTTTTTTTTTTTTTTTCCTAAGTGAATGAAAAGTTGCTGTGTATTAATAAAGATGATCAGTTTGCTTTTCTGTTGGGATACACTCTCTCCAAGAGAGTTTAATTCTCATCTTTCTTTACTGGTTCAGATCTTGTCATTTCTTCAGAACATAGTTGTCATAACACAGGTTATATTTCAGGTATATGTCTGAATGTCCATGGACACCAAGTTAAACATGTCACAGGTTATATTTCAGAAGTATGTCTTAGAAGTCAAAAGAACGGTAGTAATATTAGAGTTGAGTTGTGGTTAGGATTTCCATCCCAATATAAAACTTTTTATACAAGAGATAATTTTTCTCAATGGCCTTAGGAAATGCTTCCATTTATTAATTTAGTGTACACTACGGCTAAAGACACTTAGTCAATATTCTGTTGCTGTGAAAAGACACCATGACCACAGCAACTCATAAAATAAAGCATTTAATTGATACTTGCTTACAGTTTCAGAGGTTTAGTCCACTATCAGCATGGCATGGAGCATGGTGGCACACAGGCAGGATTGTGGAGAAGTGTCTAAGAGCTCTACCCCCAGATCTGCAGGCAGTGGGAAGAGCAGACACTGGACCTGGCTGGATCGTTTCAAACCCAAAGCCAGCCTACCTCGAGTGACATACTTCCTCTTAAAAAGGTCACATCTATTCCAGCAAGGCCACATCTCCTAATTCCTCTCAAGTAGTGCCACTCCCTGATGAAGCATTCAAATACGTGAGCATTATGGGGGCCACGCTCATTCAAACCACCACAGACACCGAGTTAAAACAACTCCACACACACTGAGGGCGGAGCCCAGAGTCTGTGCGCTAAGCAGGCATTCCAGTACCTCAGCCTGTCATAGTCTACATTGCTGTCAACACCACTGTCCTCCATGCTCCTACGAGCGTGGCCCATTAATTTTTGTGTAAAGTGTTTCATGTTCCTAATCCAAAGTCCACATTCAGCCAACAAGCAGCATGGTCAGGCTGATTATTTTTAGTGAAACATTTTTAGCTGATTTTTAACTTCTAAGTACTCTGGCTCTGTAAGTTGTCAATTGTTTCTGACAGTTGGTCAAGCCTTGGAGATGTACCTTAGATATTGTTTAGTTAAAATCCAAATTACACTGTCAGTTTTATTTTTAAGTCCTAAAATCAGTAGTATCAGATTCTGAGCTGGTGGAATAATTCATTAAGATTTTAAGGCATTTTATCTTGATAATTTTTAGCACAGCTTTGAAACTATACTTTGCTCATTTGTTTCTTGTTACATTTCACTATTGTATAAAGCCTAGTAAAATGTCTCATTGCACTTTGCCCCTCTGGTCTTTGAAATGCATTGACAGATTGTTGACAAAATGTTTCTTCTTTTGAGGGTGAGTTTCATGATAAACTTCCTGTAAATCCATGTTAGAATAACCTCATATGCTCTTATTAAGGATCCTAGTTTTTGCTTTTATATGCTAAATACATAAACCTTTATGTTTTATCAAGCTAGAAATTTAACTTAGATAGGTTTGGCTTTAACATTTTTTCCAGTCATTGGTCACATTGATAAAAATCTACTTTTCATCTTGAAAGAATTAATACCTGTGGTATTGATATTTATACACACACACTGTCTAATTATTCTCATTTTTCTCTAGCTATAAATAGAACACATTTTAGAAATAAAACATCTTTTCCTTTTCACATCTTTAAGCATCTTTTGGTTGAGTTGCTAATCAAAATTATGGTGATGTTTGAGAAATTGTACTTAAGCACTAATTTTAAAACAGTCCTAGATTGAAACCAAGTAATTGTTGATGGAAACAGTGTTTGGCAGGAAGAAAGACTGTTGTAGTTTCCTTTGGCGCTTGCTGCATTTCCTGCAGACATGTGGGGTATTGCCTTTTCTGTGTCTCATGATTATCACTCTATATACCTGCTACACCCATGTGAGTATGGACAGCACAAACTGGACTCAGTGGGTTTCCCCCAAAAAAAAAGAAGGAAGGAAGAAAGAAAGAAAAAAAAATGTGGTGGCACACGTCTATAATTCCAGCACTGGGGGAGGCAGGTGGATCTGTGTGAATTCAAGGTCAGCCTGCTCTCTACAAAGCAAGTCCAGAAGAGCCAGGGCTACACTGAGAAACCCTGTCTCAGGAAAAAAAGAAAGGAAGAAAGAAAAAGAAAAAAATTATGATGAAAACTTGGAGGTTCATCCAGGAAGAGTTAGAAGAAGAAGTGAGAAGTGATCAAAATACATTGAAATTCTGTGAAATTATCTGAAAGTCTCAAGGAATTAATAAAAATAATAAATTAAAAACCTGTGAGCTAGAGGTCAAAGAATGATGATCAGTATTTTATATTTATATATTATAAAAGCTTAGGCCTATAGAGTTTATTAGAATTTTCTCATGAAGTTGCATTTATGCAGTTAATGAAAGTCCTAGGAAATTATTTAAATTATTTTATGTTTACAGTAATTTGTGGTGTGTCTTTTGCATAATGTTAATGTAAAGCTTTGATATTAATATATTGCTAGCATCTAGTCTTAGAATTTATTGTTTATGAAGTAGCAATTGATTTTCATACCTAATAGAACTATACTTAAGGGTTCAAAGTGGAGAATTCTTACTTGGATTGGTTGCTTTTACATTTATTTATTTATTTATTTATTTCTACTGATTTGTTTTAGATCAGCAGTCAATATGAAGAATTATCACTTTGTGCACACTTCTGTTATTGTCTCATTAAAATAGTTCCTAATAATTTGAGTGTTCATTTCTCGTGAAATGATACTATGTGTGTTTAACCACACAGATCCTCAATTTGTGGTCTGCCAACTAAAGGTGAAGATATATTCCTCCAATTCAGGACCCACACGACGGGAGGACAAGTTCATGTACTTTGAGTTCCCTCAGCCATTGCCTGTGTGTGGTGACATCAAAGTAGAATTCTTCCACAAACAGAACAAGATGCTCAAAAAGGTTTGCACTTTAGTTCTATTGGGTTGATGAGCAACCTCAGGCCTTTTGCTTAAAACCTTTGGATAGGAAATTATTTTGTAAGGAGAGACTAAGGTAGAGTATTTCTCTGCCATCTGCTGATCTCTGGTTACTTTTTTGGTAAATTTGCAGACACTTCTGTGTGATTGATGAGACATATAAAGAGAATACGCCATGCACACACACAAACACACTCCATACCCACATAAAAACACAGTTTGTTCTGTGATCTTACACAACATAAGCCATGTCTGACCTATTTATGTTTTGTGAAACTGGATTAGTTTTTATTTTGTTTTCCCAGATTTACTGAGTATTTAGTCAGTATTACTTAGCTGAAAGAAGTAAGTGGCTGTGAAGAAGTAGTAACACCCCCACCCCCCCCCAAAAAAAAAACACCTAATGTATTTAAACATGCAGTTCAGTATTACTGAGGCTTGACATACACGTAAGCAAAGGCAAAGGCTAGGCTGTAAGCACCTTAGTTTGGAATATTGAGTGTGAACATTTAAATAAGTCCAAGGTGCAAGAGTTTTACCTAGAACAGAGGAAGACAGCAACTTTGTGTAGGATTGGTGCCTGTGAAGCCTGCAGGATAGTGTATCACCAGAAAGGGGGTTTTATTTTCTCAGTCTTTAAGGTTTTGTTTGTTGGTTTGTTTGTTATAAGCGATTGAAAGAAATTTCACTTACTATAAAACTTCTAAATGTCTCATTTTCCATGTGGGTTCCCTAGTAAAGGGAGAAGAGACAGTCTCTGCCTGCTCCTTAATCAGTTCTCCCTGTTGGGGTGTCCTAGCCAATCTACAGAGGAAGAGGATCCAGATAGTCCTGATGGGACCTGATAGGCTAGGGTCAGATAGTAGGGGAGGAGGACTAGGGGAAGATGAGGGAGGGGAGGAGATGAGGAAAGGGCCTACAACTGGGATACAAAGTGAATAAGTAAATAATAATAAAATTTTAAAACTTTTAAATATATCAATTTGATTTATCATGAGAAATTTTTCCTTTTTCTAGAGTTTAATTAGTTTAAAAAAATTGCAAACATACCAAATTAATATTTTTATCACAGACTTATTTACAACCTCACATGAAGCAAAAAAGCTAAATATGTTTATATCTTTGATTTTTCTGGGGATTTTTATGGGGTTTGTTTGTTTTTTTTTTTTTAAGACTATAAAAAGTGAACAATATTTCAAAAATTAAGGCTTTTTTTTTCCCCCTCTCCTACTATTTTTTTGTTTTATATCTCTGGCTGTGCTAGAACTTACTCTGTAGACAAGGCTGTCCTCAAACCCGTTGATACGCCTGCCTCTGCCTCCAGAGTGCAGAAAATTAAAGGCACCACTTCCTGGGATCTCCTACTTCTTCTAAGACTTTGGTTCACATAAAATTGTGTGTGTCTGTGTCTGTGTCTATTTTTCTTACTGGTTTTCTTTTGGTAGCATTTGCTTGTTCGTTTGGAGACAGGTTCTCACTTTGTAGCTCAGGCTGGCCTGGAATTCACTAAGTAGCCAGTTTGGCCTCAGTTGAAGCAGTCCTTCTGCCATGAACTCCCAAGTGCTATGACTGTAGGTCTGCGCCACCATGTCTGGATTTGTGTTGTTTCTAGAAATAGATACTTACCTTATCATCTCCTTGTACATTTATGAATGTGCTAGTTCTTACTCCAGATCTCAGTTGAACATTTACATACATGAAACTGAAGGTTGTATATTTATAACATTTTTATATCTTAGCTTTCTTTTCGTGTTGGCTTATAATCATCTGTAACTCCAGTCCCTGCGATATCTGAATCCTCTTCTGGCCTTCATGGTACCAAGCCTGCACAGGGTGCACATACATAAATCCAGGCAAAAAAAAAAGTTGCTATATTTCTTTAGGGAACTTGTCCTAACCGTCCTAGTCCTAGGGCTTCTGTTAAATTTAAAATACCTGATCTTTGCTTATATCTTCATACACATAAACTCAAAACATTTTTTGAAATCCAGTATTATAATAGAAAATATCTTTCTTTGGATTTTAAGATAATAAAAGTAAGTTACCAGATTTTACAGAATTATTTTTATCTAAAATTTTAAAAAAGATAACTTAGCAAATTAGAATATTCACAAAGTGTTTGCCTTCACTTAGAATGTCAGATCATATATGGCTGATACACACACACACACACACACACATATATATATATGTATATCAGATGTTGACTTTGTGATAAGTGAAATGCATCTTTCATTTCTTTTCTGTTTTAGGACAAAATGTTTCACTTTTGGGTAAATACATTCTTCATACCAGGACCAGAGGAAACCTCAGAAAAAGTGGAAAATGGAAGTCTCTGTGATGAGGAAATCGACAGCATTTGCAGTATAGAACGTGCAGATAATGACAAGGAGTATCTAGTGCTCACCCTAACAAAAAACGATCTTGACAAAGCCAACAAAGACAAGGCTAACCGGTACTTCTCTCCAAATTTTAAGGTCAGTTAAAACCATTTTAGTGTGTGAATGTGTGTTTTATTTTAAGTGAAGCTAAAGAGCTAAGCCTTGTGTTAGTAGTCTTCAATCTGTAGAATTCCCAAGTGTTGCCTGGCCTTTTCTTTTTATTACTGTGCTTGCTTTTGTTCCTCCTCCTCCTCCTCCTCCTCCTCCTCCTCCTCCTCCTCCTCCTCCTCCTCCTCTTCTTCTTCTTCTTCTTCTTCTTCCTCTTTCTTCCCTACCTCCTCTAAAGCCTTTCCTTTCTTTTTTCAATTCTTTTTTTATTCTGTCATATTTGTTTCATTCACATGTAACAAACTTAACCATAGGTTACCATATAATAATTCTGCTAATACATAAAACAGAGACATAGGGTCTTGCTGTATATGCCCAAGCTTTCCTTGAACTGTCATGCCTCCTTTAAAAGCAACCATTTGCATTTAAAATGTATTTCTTTCTAGTCTTACTGTTTTGATATATCTCCAGCAATGTTCCTTGGTGTTTGCCTAATATGGGTGATCCCTTGAAATCAACAAGTACTATAAAAACAATAAATAAAAAATAAAGTATAAAAAAAAAGTTTTTGTAGATAAAAGCCATTTTCATTGTCACTGAACAAATAGATCCAGGTAAGTACTATGAAACATGCAACAAACACAAGGATGGCCTGGTGAAGTGGATGTAAAGAGAGGTCTGAATGAAATGAGCAAATTTACCCATGTAAATTGTAAATGGCCTACATAACAGCCATTGGGGAGGGCGAGAGGAAGAGTATCTTGAGAATCTTGAGGTAAAAAATGAGTCTGTATATTTGAATGGCTGAAGTTTTGATGTGAATGTGTGGAGTGCTGAGCACAGAGAAGATATAATCTGAGCTCATCTTTAAATATCCAGTTCACTCCCTTATATTGAGACTGGCTCAGAAACTAGGAAGAGGCCACAGGGTTGAAGTGGGGGAGAGTTGGAAAGTGAGCCCATTGGTTAGTTCAGATAAGAGGTGATGGTTAGGTGGTCTCAGGTAGTAGCAGGGAGCAGTGGCAAAACTAGTAAAATACTGTAAGGGGAAACTTAAAGCAAATGTTTGTTATAAGAAAAATTTATAATGACTTGAATAATAGGAAAGAAGCTATAGATAAAGTCTGGTCTCCTATCAGCTGTTCACCAGATACTGTCCTTCAGCATTCTGCCTGGTCTTTGGGTGTTTGTTCCTTTTCCTTTGGAATGGAAATACTTAAGGAGTTAGTTTTAACAGTTAGTGCAGCATGCATCTAAAGGCCATTGACTCACTCTTTGGACTACTATGTGGTCTCTGTTAGCTTCCTACATTCTCTCTTTATGTGAAGATTTTAGGGCTAATTGATTTTGAGCACATTATCATTAATCATTATTGTATAGTGTCAATAATACAAAAATAAAGTCTCAGACATAGATTTTAAGAGAAATGTTTTAGAAATATAAGCATTTGTAAATTGAATTTTGTGGTTTAGTAAGTTCCTGAGGTCATTATCTTCTTTTTGCACTTGTTTTAAAGAATTACATAGTGCTTATGGCTTATGTTTCTTTAAAAACAGTTATCAACGTGTCAGTGTATCTTTTCAGTGTAAAATAGGCAATTAAGTACAACAGTCATTTAAAAAGCAGTATCCTTCAAAATTCATGTTTGTTATAGTACTTTCAAGTGAATCTGTAAAAACAGATGTCTTTACTAATATAGAACTCATCTTCATTGTTCATTTTCATCTTCTACTCTCTTTCTCTAGGTGAAATTATACTTTACAAAAACAGTAGAGGAGCCATCCAATCCAGAGGCTAGCAGTTCAACTTCTGTGACACCAGATGTGAGTGACAATGAACCTGATCATTATAGATACTCTGACACCACTGACTCTGACCCAGAGAATGAACCGTTTGATGAAGATCAGCATTCACAGATTACAAAAGTCTGATTTTTTTTTTTTTTTTTTTTTTTTTTTTTTAAAGGGGGTTAAAAAAAAAAATTTAAAAAAATAAAAAAAAATTTTTTTTTTTTTTTTTTTTTTTTTAATGGCAATAGGACATTGTGTCAGATTGCAGTTATAGGAACAATTCTCTTCTCCTGACCAATCTTGTTTCACCCTATACATCCACAGGGTTTTGACACATGTTGTCCAGTTAAAAAGGTTGTGTAGCTGTGTCATGTATATACCTTTTTGTGTCAAAAGGACATTTAAAATTCAATTAGGATAAATAAAGATGGCACTTTCCCATTTTATTCCAGTTTTATAAAAAGTGGAGACAGACTGATGTGTAGGAGTTTTTCCTTTTACTTTCTGTCACCAGCTGAAGTGGCTGAAGAGTTCTGATTCCAGGTTCACGTCCTACCCCTTTGCACCTGTGGCAACAGATAAGTTTGCAGTTGGCTAAGAGAAGTTTCTGCAGGGTTTTGCTACATTCTGATGCATGTACTTGGGTTGAGGGGATGGAGGAAATGCTCAGAAAGGAATGCGTTAGCTGGGCCCTTGAACCAGGTACCATCTCCAGCTACTTACACACACCTTTCTTTAGCATGCTACAGTTACTAATCTGGACATCCAGGATATTGGCCGCTGTCACTGCTTGTTGTTTGTGCATTTTTAAGAGCATATTGGTGCTAGAAAAGGCAGCTAGAGTGAGTAAATTTGTATTGGGGTATAGGAATGAACCGTCTACAGCATCTTAAGAATCCACAAATTAAGAGATATAAAAATAATATGGCCATAGACAAGAGACACAGCAACAATGACTTAACCATATAAATGTGGAGGCTATCAACAAAGAATGGGCTGGAAACAGAAAAAAATGACAATGATTTATTCAGTATGCTTTCTCAGTTGTAATGACTGCTCCATCTCCTATGTAATCAAGGCCAGTGCTAAAAGTCAGATTCTATTAGTCCCTACATCAGTTAACAACTTACATTTATTTTTATTGATTTTCAATCATATACCTACTGTGGATGCTTCATGTGCTGGCTGCCAGTTTCTTTTTCTCGTTAAATATAAAATATTTTGTAATTCTTCACAGGAAATTTCAATTTGAGATCAACAGTAAGCAGGTTTTTTTCTATGAAGATTGATGATGCACTTACTCAGTCCAGTAGCTGTCAGATGTCCCGCCCTTTTGACCTTACACATTCTATTACAATGAGTTTTGCAGTTTTGCACATTTTTTAAATGTCATTAACTGTTAGGGAATTTTACTTGAATACTGAATACATATAATGTGTATATTAAAAAGTCCTTGTTTGTGTTAAAAAGGAAATTAGAGTTGCAGTAAATTGTCAGCACTGCGCGAATGATAAGGCATTTAAGTTTTTCAGTAGAAATTGTCCTACAGATGCTTTATCGACTTGCTATTGGAAGAGTAGATCTTTTTCATGTGCAGTGTTGGGTCACTTCTTTATCGCGGTAGAGTTGGGATTAGGGCTTCAATTCCACTTCTTAAATATCATTATATGTTCGATATGCCCAGACTGCATACAATTTAAAGCAGGAGTACAACTACTATTGTAATGGTAATGTGAAGATACTATTAAAAAGGATTTTTTTTTTTTTCTGGGAATTTGGTGTCTTTCAAATTATCTTGACCTTGACATTTGAATATCCAGCCATTAGATTTCTTAACGGTGTGAAGTCCCATTTTCAATAACTTATTGGTGCTGAAATTGTTCATTAGCTGTGGTCTGACCTAGTTAATTTACAAGTACAGATTGCATAGGACCCACTAGAGAAGCATTTATAGTTTGATGGTAAGTAGATTAGGCAGAACGTCATCTAAAATATTCTTAGAAAATAATGTTGATGTATTTTCCATACCTCATCAGTTTCACTCAACCAATAAAGTTTTTAAAATTGTAACAAAGCTCTTAGTATTTACACATTTATATTTAAACATTGATAAATGAATATTGGTTGACTGTTGGTAAAGTGATAAAGTTAGAGACAACTTTTCCTAATATCTTACCTTTGAAACTGGTATACCACCTTGTCTTTCCTAAAAGCTAAAAGTGGTTGACTAAAATGAAAAGCAGCTATTGGTGTTTTGGAGATAGTGGTGAACACTGTTCTTTGTTAGTTTTGGGCACAGCATGCTAAACTATAACTTGTATTGTTCCAATATGTAACACAGAGGGCCAGGTCATGAATAATGACATTACAATGGGCTGTTGCACTGTTAATATTTTTCCTTTGGAATGTGAAGGTCTGAATGAGGGTTTTGATTTTGAATGTTTCAGTGTTTTTGAGAAGCCTTGCTTACATTTTATGGTGTAGTCATTGGAAATGGAAAAATGGCATTATATATATATTATATATATAAATATATATATTATACATACTCTCCTTACTTTATTTCAGTTACCATCCCCATAGAATTTGACAAGAATTGCTATGACTGAAAGGTTTTTGAGTCCTAATTAAAACTTTATTTATGACAGTATTCACGATTAGCCTGAAATGCATTCTGTAGGTAATCTATCCCGTGTTTCTGGAATGCTTTCTTAGACTTTTTGGATGTGCAGCAGCTTACGTGTCTGAAATGACTTGAAGGCATCACCTTTAAGAAGGCTTACAGTTGGGCCCCGTACATCCCAAGTCCTCTGTAATTCCTCTTGGACATTTTTGCCGTAATTATAAAAGGGGAGTTGAGTTAAACAGCATCACCATTCTTTGCTGTGGCACAGGTTATAAACTTAAGTGGAGTTTACCGGCAGCATCAAATGTTTCAGCTTTAAAAATAAAAGTAGGTTACAAGTTACATGTTTAGTTCTAGAAAATTTGTGCAATATGTTCATAACGATGGCTGTGGTTGCCACAAAGTGCCTCGTTTACCTTTAAATACTGTTAATGTGTCATGCATGCAGACGGAAGGGGTGGAACTGTGCACTAAGCTGGGGGCTTTTACTGTCGTATCTGGCAGAGTTGCCTTCTACCTGCCAGTTCAAAAGTTCAATCTGTTTTCATATAGAATATATATACTAAAAATAATTGAGTCTGTAAAACGGCCTTCCTCTGATTCAGCCTCTTCAGATACTCTTGTGCTGTGCAGCAGCGGCTCTGTGTGTAAAATGCTATGCACTGAGGATACACAAATATGGCGTGTACAGGATAATGCCTCATACCAATCAGATGTCCATTTGTTACTGTGTTTGTTAACAACCCTTTATCTCTTAGTGTTATAAACTCCACTTAAAACTGATTAAAGTCTCATTCTTGTCATTGTGTGGGTGTTTTATTAAATGAGAGTATAATTCAGATTGCATAAATCTGTTAAAATGTTCAGCAATGGGCAGCCAAATATGATAACAAAATTCCTGTAGGTTTTTTTGTTTCTCCCCCCTCCTTGCTGTCCTTCAAAGCCAACTATTGAAAGAGTAGGCCTCTGTCAGCTTGGAGTAAACTGTCTACTCATGGTTAAGAAAGCCCTTTAAGCCTTAGTCATCACTTCCTAAGTTATTCCAGGAGCAGTAAGGAGTATTTTCAACTTGAAAAAGTTTGAGCTTCTTGTAAAACGGTTCATATTTCTGTTTTGTAAAGCCAGATGTGTGAGTAGCTCCTCCAGGTGTCTCAGGTCTGTTCCATGGCTTTCTGTTTTCTAACTACAGTTGTCCGTCAGCATACTGAGAGGCTTCATCAGGACTTGTTCAGAGTAGTGGGCACAAGTATAATCTCATTCTGATATTCTTACAGGATAAAGGGTAAGGCATGTCCTTTCAGTGAAACAGTAAGATGACTTGTAACAGTGTAGTTTGTACAGATGTTTTGGAAGTAAGCAGACCATTAATGTCACTGTGGAATTTTAATGTTACGTAAAGTTTATAGTTTCTCTGTGACCTTTTTATAAAAGTAAACTGAGTAACATGTAATCGAGTAAAGAAATATGAAGATTGTATGTATATGCACATTTTCTTTAGAATTGTTTATATGGGTAAAAACTTGAATATAAAGATATTTTAATTTATAAGATATTTTGATGATGTTTGAAAAAGGGATTTCCTGGCAATTTTCTTTTAGAGCATGTCCCCGTTATACTGTAATTTGAGATGACTTGGTTCAGTGAATGCCATCACCATTTCCATTGAGAATTTTAAAATTACCACTGTTTAACACTCAGGCTTCTGAAGGGCTCCAAGAGAATCAAACCTGTAAGCCTAGTTGATTGACTGCTAACACAAAACTTCGAGTTTCTTTATACTCACTGGATAGCTTTCAGTACATCTAAAAATAAGACATAGTCTTAAATGGGTTGCACATAGCTTTTATTTAACAGTGTTGTTAAAACAGAGAGAAATGCTGCTGAGTGGAGCAATAGGACCCAGTTCAATGTGTTGCACAGAGCAGTACCTAAAATCCACACACAGGGTAATGGAATGCCCCTCTCCCCGCATCGAATTACATTGCAACAAGAAGCCTACTGGTATGCTTCCTCTTAATGTTGGAACACACTTTTATGACTTTTTCCACCTTTCAACAACAGGTATCAGACTATGGGTGGGTAGTGTTTTAAACTATGAAGATGGCAGGCTAGTGTATTAATAACAGTCCTCTGCCTCTTAACTGAGCTATTCTGAGGACACTTTCCTAATATAACATCATCACAATTCTCTTGTCCTGGCAGACAAGAGAATTAAATATTAATTAAATATTATAATTATAATATTATAATTAAATATAAATTAAATATTAAATTTCTTTTTACTGACTAAACAATCATTTTTCTGTTTACTCATGTATATTTTTTTTGTTAAAACTGGAATTTGTACTATTATGTCTCCAAAGCCTTTTAGCTTGGTTTATGGACACTGCCTGGATCACTATTTAATGCAGCAGGTATAGAATATGTACATTGTAGAGACCTTCCCAGTTCTTTGGTTCTACCTAAATGTTTAATTGTCGGCATGAGGTCGATGGGTGAATAGGTAAACATTGATTTAACATAGCAAGCTTACTGTGGAAATTTCT